ATCGGGACTGTGCCTTTTTACTTGTCAACCTTGGGGCTTGTCAGTCTCAGCAGCCAGCAGCTGTCTGAGTGAAGAAACGCCTCTAGCTCCAGTGGGCCGGGAGCAGGAAGTGGAGCTAGACCCCAAGGTTGAGGGGCTTTCACTCAGCCCCTAGAGCCTGGCACTTTGAACTTGGACTTAAAGCCTCCACATTGTAAGAATAAACTCTGTTTGTAAGGCCATGCCATTTGTGGTATATTTCTGTTAGAGCGGCACCAGGAAACCGGAACAGAGACTCACCAGGTTGACTCCTCAGGGTGCTTCCCATGCTGATGTCCAAGGAGTTCCTGAGGCCACGCAGCCCTGGCTCAGGCCTGAGAAAACAGCACTGGCAGTGGATGGGGGAGGCAGATTCTGAAGGTTCAGTGCACGTACAATGACTGAGGGAGCAGGCCTTGGAGGACAGGTGATGGCTCAACCGACGGGCTTAGAGGCCAGCAGCCCCTCCGGCCCGAGGCACAGTGTAAGCTTTGTGCGTGAAGATCCGAGCTGGACTGAAGAGATACGCCAGATCTCTATAGCCTGCGGGACAAAGAAGGACATTTCTGACCATGGGAACAGCATAAGCGATGGCTCAGAGGCATCCTCAAAGCCAGGAGGACCCTCAGCATCCAAGGTACCTCCGCAGGCCTACTGAGCAGAAAGTCTAGGGTGGAACCAGCCATGTGTGTTTTCACAGAGCCTCCGGGAGATTCTGAAGCAGCTGAAGCGTGAGGACCTCTATTCCGACCAATTGTTGCCCGAACCGTGCTCTTGGAACGCTGATCTGCAGAAGGGTGACGGTGTTCTGTGAAAGGAGGGTCCATGGCCAAACGGATTTGCCGAGCACAGCATACTGTATATAGAGCTTGACTTATATTTGATTGACTCTGTTTCCTCAAGTTTATTTTCAGGTTGCCCACCAGCGTTTCACATTAGCACTCTCTTCCGGAAACGCTGACTGAAATCAGTCCTTCTTTCTTGGCAGGTGGACAAACTGAGGCCCAGGGAGGCTCAGGAGACTACCTAGAGTCACGGAGCTGCAGACGAACCTAGCAGTCTGCCTCCTCCCACAGGAGGCTCTGTGAGCTCCCCACGACTCTGCCTCCCGTCCTTCCTCCGCAGCATGAGCCTCTCCCAGCCCTGCAGATGGCGCTCAACCGCACAGGGCTCTCTGAGTTCCTTCTGAAAGGATTCTCTGCCTACCCGGGCCTGGAGCGGCCGCTGCTCCCACTGTGCTCAGCCATGTACCTGGTGACCCTGCCGGGGAACTCAGCCATCGTGGCAGCGAGCGTGCTGGACTCCCGCCCGCACACGCCCACGTACTTCTGCCTGGGCAACCTCGCCATCCTGGACATCTGCTACACGTCCTCATTTGTGCCGCTGACGCTGGTCCACGCCCTGTGCACCCGGAAGACCATCTCCTTCGCCGGCTGTGCGGTCCAGATGTGTCTCAGCCTGTCCACGGGCTCCACGGCGTGTCTGCTGCTCGTCGTCATGGCCTACGATCGCTACCTGGCCATCTGCCGGCCACTCCAGTACCCTGTGCTCATGAGACGCCAGCTCTGCCTGCTGCTGGTGGGAGCCGCTTGGGCCTTCTCCCTCCTCAAGTCAGTGACTGAGACGGTCATGGCCATGAGGCTGCCCTTCTGCGGCCACCGCGTGGTCAGCCACTTCACCTGCGAGATCCTGCCAGTGCTGAAGCTGGCGTGTGGCGACGCGTCACTCAGCGAGGCCTTCCTGCTGGCGGGCAGCGTTCTGCTGCTGCCCATACCCCTGTCCCTCATCTGCCTCTCCTACGGTCTCATCCTGGTCACCGTCCTGAAGGTGCCCTTGGCTGCAGGCCGCCACAAGGCCTTCTCCACCTGCTCAGCGCACCTGGCCGTGGTGGTGCTCTAGTACGGCGCTGTCACCCACACGTACATGACGCCCAAGAGCAAGGAGGCCCACATCTCCGATGAGGTCTTCACCGTCCTCTATGCTGTGGTCGCGCCCATGCTGAATCCTGTCATCTACAGCCTGAGGAACAGGGAGGTGCAGGCGGCTGCCAGGAAGGTGTGGGGCAGGAGCTGGACCTCCAGGTGAGGCAGGGCAGGGCTCAGCATTGATGGGAGTCTCAAGTAAGTAGGAGAGGCCATCACTTGCCTTCAGTGAGGCTGCGATGGGGAGCGAGGACGTGGGTCCAGTGTCTTATTCTCAGAAAGTCCCCAGAAGGGGACACCAAGTCCCACTGAGCTTGCCACAGAGATAGCTCATAAATGGGCCTTTTGCTCCTTCCTCTAGTATTGCCCGAGGGCAGATCTCAGCATCAATTCCTGGACCTTCCCACCAGCCTCCCAGCTAGCCACAGGTCTTCTAAGCCATCCTCCCGAGAGATTTTCGTGGAAAGCAACACGCCGTGGGGTCACCGTCCGGATGGACCTGTGAGTGGCTCCACTGCTCTAGGATAAAGCACAGCCCCACAAGCTTTCCCGCCTGACGAGGCGCCACCTCCCATCTTCCTCCTCACACCACAGCCAGCAGCCAAATAAGTGCCTTCACACCGCTGCACCACCCAGCTCTGGGCTACCCTCCTCCCACCAGCCAAGCCCCTCACAGCACACAACTGCACAGGTAAAGGTACTATCTGATCTTTAAGGCCCAACTCAAACGCCACCTCCACCAGGAAGCCTCCCCACTCGGCTCCTCTCCTCCGAGTGCAGAGTCACCTTCCACTCTGTCCCAAGCTCCACCCAGCCCAACACCACGTACCACATATGATACTTCAGTAAACAAACGAGCACATTAATGGGGTGATGACAGCAGAGACTGGGGTCCTTCCCAAATGAGAGTAAACCCAGGATGGAGCCCCAGATGACAGGAACGGCCTGGGAGTGATGAGGCCAGAGACTTCGATTCCCAGATCGGCCAGCTCTCGGACACCAGTCACCTGGAGCGTCTGGCCTGCCCACCCTCGTGCCTCCTCTGTGGCAGCAGCCACTGTCACAGAGAAGTACGTCCTCTGCACCCCTCTGGCCAAGGGCGGATCACCCAATAAGCAAGGTAAGCAAGGACTTAGTTGTGCTTCTTACTAATCTGTGGTGAACAGAGTCACATGTTTCCACCACATTGAAGATGTGGTGCTTAGTGGGTCCTCCGTCCCTGTCAGGGACTGTGAAGTTGAAAAGAGGCTTTGATTCTGTAGAAAGCAGCTGTGGGGCTGGGAGAAGGATCATGCCACCCATACCAAGCAGAGTCTTTGAAATGGTGAAATCTGTGAAATTGTTCACCAGCTTGGTAAACACAAGTAAGCTGTGCTTACCTTACTCCTTAGGTCACCTGACACTGTCTTTAGCCTTAGGGGCACCGTCTGTCAGATGGGAAAGCAGAGCTTGGCCTCCCAGCCGCAGTCCCCCTGGCCTGATCCCTGACTGCGTGGGACCTCAGTTCCCCTCCCAAGCCCACTTCCTGCTTCCTGTGCCGGTCAGAGACAGCCCAGCCAGCTACAGCAAGGGCACAGTCACGCACCGTCCACTCTCAGCAGCTCCCAGCAGAGCGGAGACAGACACACACTCTCAGCCAAAACGAGACTACGAGACTACGAGAAAAACGTAGAACGAAATTCAAATTCCTAAAAAGGGGCAGGCATCCTGGACTGATAGAAACTAGCTGAACCTCCAAGACTGTTGCCCTTTGAACTTGGAAATGAAGCGCTCCTGGAGGTCACCTTCCAGCCAAATAATAGATTGGCTTATAAAGTAAATAATATCACCCATGAGGAATGTGCTTCCTTGAGCAATCAACTAGAAGAGTCCAAACAGTCAGCATTGACCCAGAAGCAAAGATGGGAAGGCAAGGAAGCGCAGGGAGCATCGACCAATGGAAAGAGAACAAACAGAGACAGGCAGGGAGCAGCGACCAATGGAAATAGAACAGAGAAAGGCAAGGAGCATCGACCAATGGAAACAGAACAAACAGAGAAAGCAGGGAGCATCGACCAATGGAAACAGAACAGAGAAAGGCAGGGAGCAGCGACCAATGGAAACAGAACAAACAGAGAAAGGCGGGGAGCAGCGACCAATGGAAACAGAACAAACGATGGAAATCAGGAGAATGCTGACACCTTGCACAGACTGTAACCAACGTCACAGACACTGTGCATAAAAATTGTTCCACGGGAACCTAATATGCTATGTAAATTTTCACTTAAAACACAATAAAATATATGTATATTTAAATTTCCAGCTCTTTTGAATATAAGACAATAATTAGATATAAGAAAACAAATGCATGTATAAATAGATGAATCTCAACATTATTCATAGTGACATGAAAATTGTAGTAATCTAATATCCAACCACAGAGAAATGTTTAAATAAACAACAGTGGCGTCTTGCGCTATAACCAATGCAGCCATTAGAAAGCTTGGGTTTCAAAGAGTATTCGATGAGGACAACTTCCCCCAAGGTAATTAGCAGATAAAAGCAGAACACTGAGCTTGGTATTATTCAGTCTGATCTCAACTTTGTTTAAGGATTTTCCTTATGGACATATGAATAAGTATGTGTGTAGACAATTCTAGAAAACTATGACAAACTATTATTAACTAACAGTTGTTTCTGCTGGGTGTAACTTTACCAGTTACAGGTATTTTTTCTTAACTATTACTTTCAATATTATCCAATTATTCTAAATGACCATGCTCTGAACTGAAAAAAAAAAAAAAAGAAAGTTCATTTTTAAGAAATGGTTACACCCTGACACCAGAGTGGAGGATGGTTCTGGGGGGCTGAAACTGGGAGGGGGGGAGAGACTGCTGCCCGGAGCCCTGAAGCAGGTGGGCAGAAGGTGGGGAGAGGGTGGAGCCGAGAAACAGTTGGGATACACAGATGGTTATGGAAGAGGGTGAGGGAGAGAGGACTGTGGGTTTATGCCTTGGTTTCTGGCTTACTGGGGTGCAGGGTTGAGTCGCCCCTTAGATACTGAGAGGAGGAACATGGGAGAGGCATGGGTGGAGGCTGGAGATAATGACTCTCGGACACACTGAGTTTAGGGCACCCATGGGATAGTAAGAAGGCGTTGTTCCGGGAGCAGTTGGAGAAGAAGTTTGTCCTTTCTTGATATGATTTCCAAGACAAATCAGTTGTAATGTGAGAGACTGCAGCTTCTGCTGCTTTATTTTAAGTCAGTCTGCAGTCTCTAACCTGTGTCAAGGTGATGTCCTTCATTGTAAAAAGAAGAAGGAAAGGAGGCAGGGAGGAGGGAGGGAGGAACGGAGGGGGGGAGGACAAAGGGAAGGGGAAGAGGGAGGGGAGAGAAAGGAGGGGAGGGGGGAAGGAGGGGAGGGGAGGGAAAGGAGGGGAAGGAAGGGAAGGAGGGGAGGGGCACAGGACCACTTTCCTGAGTCCAGGCCCTCAGAGCAATCCTGGAAGGGACAAAGGAAGGATTTTTCACCCCATTTCACAGCCCAGGACACCCAGGCCCAGGGCAGAGGAGTCATGGGCCCCAAGCCTGTGGCTTCCTAGGGCTGAAACAGGACTAAGATGATGAGGCCCAGCCTGGCGACTGTCCAGCGGCCTCTCCTGTGGCCTCCTCCCCCAGCAGGGCCCTCCTGGGGCCAGGCCAGCAACCCGGAGTCTCTGAAGCCCAGGTCCACAGCTGCCAAACTCTGAAACTGTGAGTAGTTGTGGAGTTTGAACTTTAAATTGGGCAGGGACCCTGAGGTCCCTGAGAGCAGTGAGCTGTGCCTGTGCCAGGGGACTAGAAGCTGGGCCTCGGGGCCCCTCCACCCCAGCCCGGCCCAGTGTGCCTGCAGTGATGCACTCGGCAGTCCTGCCTGCTCTCCCTGCCGCCCTGGTCAGCTCACCTGGCAGCGGCTCCGGCCACCCGCAAGCACTCACGCCACTGGGTAAGGTGAGGCGCGCCAGTGAGGAGGTAAGGGGGTCCTCTAGCGTGCAGATTGTCTCATAAATCCCTTCCTAAGCACTAAAAAATCAGAACATTTGCTTGGGAGAAGGGCCACATGAACAACAGTAACAGCCACCATCAGTGACACTCGCCCTGTGCCAAGCCCTGGGCTGAGAGCCTAACAGGCATTAGCTAGCTCCCTGGATCCTCCACATAACCCCAAGGAAATACCATCATCATCTCCACGTTCCAGGTGAGGAGTCCGAGGCTGAGAAAATCGCCAGCGGGAGGCAGAGCTGGGGCGTGGACCCTGGCCGACCAGACCCCAAAGCCCACACTCCACCACTCCGCTTCCCACGGAGGAAGTGACAAAGCGGGAAGCCGAGATGCAGGTGTTTCTGGGAAATTGTAACCGAAGCGTGCTTCTTCTTCTGCCTCCCTTTCCTTTCAAATAAAGCGGAGAATAAATGTTAAACGCTAAAAGTAGATCCACCAGTCAGTCACGTTGCTATTTGGTATTTATCTTGCAAAGCAGCCTCAGGTTAGAAGTCTCTAGAAAGACGTGAGGAAATGTCTCAGAGCTTACAGAGAACCCCCGTCTCAGAGGTCACAGAGCAGCAAGCATTGTTGCTGTGAGCGCCTGTTGAGTGGGCCGCTGGCTCACGATGTCCCCATGCACAGTGGGAGAACCGCCACCCGGTCCTGTGTGCCATCTCCATGATCAGTCACAGTCGCTCTGCTGCAATCCAGAGGCAAATCATAGGGCCTTCCTTTCCTAGTCCACCCTGGTCCAGAGCCCCTCTGAAACCTGTTTGGCATCATAACCACAGGCAGGTCCCATTAACAGGCAGTAGGGGCATGTGAGGTGCGGTGGCCAGGAACGAACCCAGGTCGCCCCCATGAAAGGCAAGAACAAGACCACTGAGCCAGCAACACCTCAAACAGAGTGCCGCAGACCACCTGATGGAACGTCATTTCCCAGGAGGAGAAAGGTGGCCAAGGCCATACAGCGGAGTGGGAACAAAGGCAAGGGTCAAAGCCAGACCCCTCACTCCTAGGACAGGGCTCATTCCACGGCATCAACCTGCCAGTGAGAGGTGTAAAACTGAGAGAGTGAAGCTGTTTGCAGAGACACTCAATGTCCCGTCCCTCCATGGCTCTGATTGCCCAGGACATGACAGCGTGTGACACCTGGCAGACAGGCGCGCGAGTAGCTGTTGTTCAAGGTCATTGTGCCCAAACACAGGCGGCACCCGTGCTCCTCAGCAATGGTTCAGGTTCCACTCCAAGGGTGGTAGGCACGTGTGACATGTGCCACGCCTGGGTCAGAACATTTAATTGTGGATACAGGCACCCCAGGCTGCCTTCCCCCACTGTAATGACTGGCGACCTTCCAGACAGTGGGGCCTCAATCAGCCGGGGCCTCTGAGGAGGGTGACATGCAGCAGAGCCCCACAGAGCCCGGAGTGGACATGCAGAAAGTCATTCTGAGGCGCAGATTATGGGGCTGTGTGTTGCTGCGGAGAACCTCACCCACCCTGACTGGGCACAGGGAGCAGCGGCTGCTCCTTGAGGTCTCGGCCTGTGCCCATGTTGGCAGAGGTGAAGCTGGTGGTAACCTGGACGCATGGAGTTCTCGAGACGTTTTCACTGGGGCCAGAAGCCTGTGGCCTTCTGAGCCGTTCTAACTGCCATGAGTGTGTAATGCTCAGGTTCTTGGTTTGTGCAGAAGCCCCACCGCCCTGCTCTAGCTCCTCGGAAAGAGCAGCTGTTGCTGCGGCAGCAGACGGGTAGCCCCAAGGCTCTTGTTCAGTAATCAGCAAAGGCCTCGTCGGTCTTTTGCTGTGTGTGTCAAGGGGAGGGGACACTGTGATCTCCAGGTAAGACAGGGCCTCTGGCAGAGCAGCAGCACTAGATTTTAAGAAGCAGTGGGTACAACTCATAAGGCAGTCACTGATGTCTAGGGGCAGGGCATGAGAGGGTGACAGTGAGGAAGTCCTCTGCCCTCAACAGCTCATGGCCTAGTCAGAAAGAAACACAATAATACACTAACCACAGTATGAGGCAGATGGAATTGTCCTCTGCTGTTAACCTCCCTTGAATCAGTTCTGACTCACAGCAACCCTGCATGAGACAGAAGGAAACACAGCCCAGGCCCGCATCATCCTCCCAGTCACTGCTGTGGGAGCCCAATGCAGCAGCCACTGCGTCGATTCATCTCATTGAGGGTCTTCCTCTTTCTCGCAGAGCCTCTACTTTACTAAGGATGGTGTCCTTCTCTTCACTGTCGTTGAATTGATTCCATCTCATAGCGACCCCCAGTGGGTTTCCAAGGCTGTAAATCTTTACAAAAGCAGACTGCCTCATTTTCCTTCCATGAGCAGCTGGTGGGTTTGAACCAGCAACCTTCTGGTTAGCAACCAAATGCCTTAACCACTGCACCACCAGATCTCCTTGTCCTTCTCTTGTTGTTGTTGTTATGTGCCATCAAGTCAGATCCCACTCATAGTGACCCCTCCTTGGGTTTCCGAGGTGCTATCACTACGGAAGTAGATTGCCCAACCTTCCTTCCGAGGAGTGGCTGGTGGGTTTGAACCTCCAGCCTTCTGGCTAGCAGTCAAGTGCCTTAGGCAAGTCTGTATTAAATAGCTGCCATCAGAGTGGTCAGTTCTGGGGAGTCATCTGAGAAGGCTGCACAGGAATGGTGGTATGTCAGCTGAGCCTTGAAGGACGGGGATAGAGAAGGACCATGCTTGAGGACACAGCCTGAGGAGAAAGACGAGCTAGGGGCATGCGAGTTTTGTCCTCACAACGGGGCGCGGTCTGCTGAGGGCGGCACTGGCTGTAGGAACGGTGTAGTGGGAGGGGTGACAGGAGGGCAGGCTACAGCCTGGTCACAAAAGATCTCAGACGCTCCCCATTCCCACCTAGACTTTTTGTTGAAGACAAGGGTAAGAGAGAGAAATGCGTAGTTGGGGGGTTTCCCACCCTTCGTCTGCTTGAAAACACCCACATTATGCCCGGCATCAGAATTTGAGACTAACAGAGTCTTTTGTAACAACACTTCCAGCAAAGACCCAGCCCTTATTGTTCTTCCTTCAGATTTCAGGTCTCATTTTGTCTTTGCATCTTAGACGCAGAAAGAATCAGGCCTGGGGGGGACCTCAAAGGCCTCTAAAGCCCAGAGAAGGGAAGAGATGCATTCAAGGTCACCAAGAGAGTGAGGTAATGATTGTCAACACCATGAGCTCTGAAGACTGAGCAGGAACGCGTCCGGGAGGGAGGGAGGACATGCCTGTGAATGGGAACTTCCTGGGCCAAAATGCAGAACTGGGAAAAGACACACTTTATTCAGGGAGGGGTGACTGCTCTGGTCCCTGCAGATGGTAGATGCAATTAAACAAAAGGAATGGGGGGAAAAATAGAAAAATCCAGCCTTGAAGAAATACATGCACAAGCTCAATTAGCATAACACGCCACACAAAACACGGCTCTACACCCTCCCTTGGTGAGAAGCAATTGGGGTCTTAAAAGCTTGCAAGCAGCCATCTAGATGCAACATGGGTCTCTCCTCATCCAAAACAAACAAGAATGAAGAAAACCAAAGATGCATGTAAACAATTAGTCTAAGGGACTAAGTGGATCATGCAAATCTCAGCCTATATGACCATGAGACCAGAAGAACTAGACGGTACCCAGCTACCACTATCAACCTCTCAGAGAGGAAGCAGTATGGGAGATCCTGGATAGAGTGGGAGACAAATGTGGAACAAAACACAAAATCAAAGAAAAGACAAGGCTTACTGGTCTGATAGAGCCTGGGGGAACCCCCAAGACTATGGGCCCCTAGTTACTCTTCAGGCCTAGAATTGAACTCACTCCCATGGCTTCCAGCCACCACCAACAGACAGGCATATAGGGTGACCATTTACGCCAGGTAGATACACTCCTTAGGATAATCCATCATGGGCAAAGAGCAGAGCAGTATTTGCAAAGGGAGACAGCTTGGAGGGCAGGAATGCATAGGAGAGAAGGACACAGGGAGGAGGGAACCACAGGGAAGAGGGAACCACAGGGAGGAGGGAACCACAGGGAGGAGGGAACCACAGGGAGGAGGGAACCACAGGGAGGAGGTGGGAAGAGAGCTGTCACACTGTGGGGAGCTGCAGTCAATGTCGTGAAACAAAATGTGTATGATCTGCTGTGTGGAAAAAGAATTTACTCTGTAAACTTTCACCCAGATCATAATTTAAAAAAAGAAAAGAATGTATCAGGAACCTTTTCTTCCTTGCAAGAAAAGTGTACTTTGATTAAAAAAGAAACAGATGGGGGCCCAAACGGTCACAGGACATGGGCCTCCCCATCAGTCCAGGAGGGCAGGGAGAGAGCAGGCGGGGGACTGCATCTCTGAGCGATCAAAGTTCATACTTGGCTCCTATTTCTTCTTCAGACCAGGGTCCCTGAGCCATGACTTCCTGTCCTAACAAGACTGCTGTGCCTTGGAGACACATGAGTTTCCACCCGTGAATATTTGGCACTGGCCTTTCTCGAGAAAGCCGAGAGACCCGGTCAGAACGAGGAAGGCTCTCAGGGAGCGAATGGAGGCGCCCCTCCTCCGGCTGGGAAGTTAGTCGGCACCTAACAGCGGCTGCCAGCTGACCTTCAGATTCTTCCTCCTTCGGTGACGTCACTGTCGACATTATTCCTCCTAAGGAGCCATGGGGCCCGGACGGGAGCCATGTGGCTTTCATAATCAGGGGTCAATACTGTGACCAGGTCTTCTGGGGTTCTATGTCCTTTAAAACGCAATGGATGGTCTGTGATTCCTTAAGGAGAGAGGACCAGCCACCAGCCTGACGTCCTGTGGAGCTGAGAGGGCCGAGCTTTAGTGCCCAAAGCACAAGGTGAGCATCCTCCATCGGCCACCTGCCTTCCAGAGTTCCTCCGGCCTAACTCAGGGAACAGGGGGCAGCACTTGGACAGTGACGTCCCTGTCTCATTCATGTTATCTGCTGCTGTAGTCCCAGCACTGAAAACATACCTGGCACACAGCGGACACTCAGGAAATACTCGGTAAACAAACGGAGTCTGAAATACTCTGGACACAATCGACCATCTGGAATCATAACCTAGAAACGATACTTCCTTTTGACGTCCAAGGACCCTTTAGATTCCAAAGCAGCATGTCAAACGGGAGCCCCGCTCTATTGCCTCCTCTGAGCCCACCCTGGACGGAACAGACAGGAGCCTAGGGGACTGCAATGTGTGGCATGGTCCCTAAGCCGTGTCAGGAGGCCTGCAGAGCTGAGAGGGCCAGTTTACAGAACCTGGAGCTCAAATCTCACTAAACAGACAGTGAGACTAAATTCTAAGGATGGGTGTGACCTGCCACAGGTCACACTTACAGGTTGCTTGACTCCTGGGCCAGCCCGAGCTTTTTCCCAAATCTGTGTGGTCCCAATGGAAAATGAGGGAGAATGATGGATGGGGCAAACCAGACAGCTGTCAGGGAGTATACCTTGGTGGGGTTATCTGGGCACCATGACCTAGAGAGGGTCCTGTTTGTGCTTTGCCTGGCTCTCTACTCTCTGACCGTGCTGGGGAACTCCCTCCTCATCGGGCTGAACATGCTGGACCCCCACCTGCACAACCCCATGTACTTCCTGCTCAGCAACCTCTCCCTCATGGACATCCTTGGCACATCCTCCTTCGTGCCGCTCATGCTGGTCAATTTCCTGGAAGCCCAAAGGACCATCTCCTTCCCGGGCTGTGCCCTACAGATGTACCTGACTCTGGCACTGGGAGCCTCGGAGTGCTTGCTGCTGGCTGTGATGGCATCCGACCGTTGTGTGGCTACCTGCCAGCCACTGAGGTATCCAGAGCTCACGAGTGGGAAGACGTGCTTGTGCGTGGCAGTGCTGGCCTGGGGGACGGGCTTCACCAACTCACTGCTGCCGTCCCTCCTGGCCTGGCGCCTCCCCTTGTGCGGCCACGATGTCATTAACCACTTCTTCTGTGAGATCCTGGCAGTGCTGAAACTGGCCTGTGGGGACATCACCCTCAACGCACGGGTGCTAATGGTGGCCACAACATTCCTGACACTGGCCCCACTCCTGCTCATCTTTCTGTCCTACATGTTCATTCTTGCTGCCGTCCTTAGGGTACCTTCTGCTGCAGGCCAGCGCAAAGCGTTCTCCACCTGCTCTGCCCACCTCACGGTGGTGGTGATTTTCTACGGGACCATCTCTTTCATGTACTTCAAGCCCAAGGCGAAGGACGCCAACGTGGATAAGATCATTGCGTTATTCTATGGGGTCGTGGCACCCTCCCTGAACCCCATCATCTACAGCCTGAGGAACGCAGAGGTGAAAGCCACTGCGGTGGCTCTGCTGCGGGGAGGTCTGCTCTCCAGGAAGGCGTCCCGCCCGTCCTGCTGGGCCCCTTCTCCACCAGGACACGCCAGGCTGTGCTGTGGCCGTGACCTCCACACGGCAGCGGCTCAACTCGGCTCGTGCTCCAGGCCCATCAGAGGACGGAGGGGGTCTCTGCGTCGGCACCACTAGCCCTCGGGGGGTCAGGGTGATGAGGCAGCTCCCATCGGCAACACGGAAGGTCACCCTGACAAAAGGAGAAGAGAAAGTAACAGAGCGAGCCCCATTCTTAAATTTCCGCTCAGAAGTGACATCTTCCGTCCACTTAGTTTTATCAGCCAACACAAGTCACGGGGCCAATCTAACATCAAGAACGAAAGGAAGCTTATCTGCCGTGTGTCTGGAAGAAGAGCGAGGGCTGAGACGCTTGTGAATACACGAATGACTACCACACCATCCTGGTCAACCCTAGAGCTACTCGAGATCTGGCTTCCTTTCTCTTAGCCCCCTAACCTTCATACCAAGTGAAAGGTTACTCATCTTAAGGCAGCTTTGTACTACATCAACCTAATTAGGTTGAAACTGTTTCCCAAGATTCTCTTCTCTCTATGGTTCAGGGTTAGTTAGGGTTCACCACAAGAGAAACTTACATGAGATCTGAAAGGCAAAACTGAAGTGGCAATTATTTATGTTCTTCACGCTTAGGTGAGGTAAGTCGCCAGGCGCCTTGGCGACACACGCGACTTGTCACTGATCTCCTGGCTCACCTCGTTAGCCTGGGGCAGAAGCTGGGCCTGAGCTTCTCACCAGACCTCTTCCTTCAGCTGCTGTGAATTCTGGGCCCAGTGCAGCCCCACGGTGAAGACCACCAGTGTTTTCTGTAGGCCCCCATGTCACTGAGATTGACGGCAGGAAGAGAGAGACCCAACTTCCAGTTCGTCCTCATGGCTCTTAGTCTGTCCTAACTCCCCCTCACTTCACACCCAGCTTTCTCTCCTGACCACCAGCCCAGCTGCACGGTATCGGGTCCAGCACAAATGCACAGGCTTCTCCAACTGCTCCCCGCGTGGCAAGGGTCTACTATCTGTAAGAAATCCCTTATGCCACTCATAGTGATTCTGCTACTTTGACATGTTGTTGTTGTTGTTATGTGCCGTCGAGTCAGACCCAACTCATAGCGACCCCTCCTTGGGTTTCTGAGGCAGTATCACTACGGAAGTAGATTGCCCCATCTTCCTTCCGAGGAGCCACTTTGATAAGCTGCAGCTAATTCATCATCCTTCCGATCGAGAACCTCTGATGGTCTCCCATCACCACGGCACTTGAGTCCAAGGCCTTCAGCTGAGCCCTCTAGATCCTCGAGGACCTGGCTTCCCCGGCTCTGCAGCCCCGCTTTCCGACAGCTCCGTGCACACGGCCGCCCCCCTCGCACATTCCCTGTGCGGTCCCGCCTCTGCATCTCTCCATGCTGTTCTGCCACGAGAACTTGCACCAGTTTTCAAAGCAGCCCAGACACCACCTGTTCCGTGCGTCCTTTCCTTGGAAATTCTTCTCCTTCCTCTGCTTCTAGGACACTTCATTGGAACCTGGCACTTGCCAGCCACCCCCCTCCGCCCAGCATTGCTTCTGTTTCACAGCGGCAGCTCTTTGACAGCAGGATTCAAGCAGGTCTGGCTCCTTGCGGAAGCTCCCACGGAGCCTTCACAAGGTCTGCTGACGTGGACTGCCACTCAGAAGCCCTCGCAGTCACCATCCGGGGACGCAGCTCTGTGTTACCGTAATTGCTCCAGGCAGCTGTCGGTGCTCAGGGGTCCTAGCCTGGTGTGGTGGTGAAGTTTGTGTGTCACCTTGGCTAGGCCTGGTTGAGTGGCTGGGCAGTTGGATGGAGTTATTCCCCATTGGTAAGATTGGTAATCAACTCCACGGTGGAATGTATTGGAGCAGCTGAGTAGCTGCTTTAGGGATACGGCCTGCTTCCCGTATATAAGCAGCAGCTTGGGGCATGGTCTCCAGCTTATGGCGTGCTTGAACCCTGCGTGCAGCTGAGTCATTGCTCAGCGGTCTGCCGTGCTCTGCTAACCTCGGGACTTTCAATGGACTTGAATTAATGGCCTGCCATGTGGTTTGGGACTGTGCCTTTTTACTTGTCATCCTTGGGCTTGTCAGTCTCAGAAGCAAGCAGCTGAGTGAAGAAAAGCCTCTAGCTCCAGTGGGCCGGGAGCAGGAGGCAGAGCTGAAGCCCAAGGTTGAGGGGCTTTCTCTCAGCCCCTAGAGCCTGGCATTTTGAACTCAGAATTAAAGCCTCCAAACTTTAATAACCTCCTGCTTGTTCAAGCCAGCCCATTTGTTGTATATGCCTGTCAGAGCAGCACTAGTCAACCAGAACGTCCGGCTGTGTGTGCAGACACACGTGAGGGGCCAGCAATATCTGCTGACCACAGCCCTGCATGCAAGGCAGGCAGGCGTTGTTTGGATCGTGGGCTCTCTCTCACTGAAACAGATCAGGAGACAGCTGAGGAGAACTGGGTTCCAGGCAGGAGGCAGCAGCTGTGCCCAGAGGTGTCTGATTGTTTGCTGGTCCCCTCCCCACAGGAACCCTCCAGGCCCCTCCAACTCAAACTGTACACACATCCCCCCTAAACATCACATCACCATCTCAGGAACCACCACCACCCACAAGTAACAAGCCAGAAACATGCTGGTCACCATAGACTTCCTGGCATGCCCGTTAACCCACACATCCAATCAGTCCCCAAGGCCTACAGAGCCCACCTCCCAGTAGCTCTCAGATCAGCACCCTCCTTTCCACTATCACCGCATTGAGCTCTCTCTGTCTGTCTCACTCTCTCTCTGTCTGTCTGTCTCACTCTCTCTCCATCTGTCTCTCAACACTCTAACTGCCCTGCTCTCCTCCAACTCTTTCCAAACCCATCCTTCACACCAGCCATTAATACCTCACTTTAAGCTCCAGCTTAAACTCCTGCTTATTTCATGAAGAATAAAAACCAGACACACCCCTTAACTGCCAAATTTCACTAGCTGCTTGGCTCTACTGGCCTACTCCACCCGCACACACACTCCACCCGCACACACACTCCACCCGCACACACACACACACGCTCGACTTGCACACACACGCTGCACCCGCACACGCTGCACCCGCACGCACCCCAGGCCCGGCACACTGAACTCTTCACAGTCCCCTGACAAAATCTCAGCCTTTCCTGCCGCCTTGTTCCCTCTCCATGTGCAGATACTTCTCTGCGTCTTTCCCGCCTTGTTCCTTCTCCATGTACAAACACTTCTCGCTCTTTAGCAAACGCATACTGAACGCCCAGCACGGGCCAGGTGAGGCACTGTTCCACCGCTTTACTCACTGGACACCAGAGGGAATGGCGGGAATCTCAAGGGACAGATGTAGTACAGACATGGCGACAACAGAAAACAGTCTCAACAACTCGCGTCTCAGAAGCTCATTTTATTCTCACTCAAGCCACCTCTTCCAGGAAGCCCCACCTGATATCCCTAGTTGGGTGTGACCTGTCCCAGCTCCACCCCCTTCTTCAGTGCCTTCTGTACTCTGTCACAAATCCCAGCTAGTTCATGTGCCCCGTGACCTCTGCACACCTTAGTGTGATGGAATATTTCTTCTGTAGGCAAAGTTGGATTTTTTTCCTCCACCGCTTTTTCTGATGTAGTTACAGACACAGGGCCCACACCCTCGGGTCTTCTCACTGTCCAGCGGGCCCCAGCATTCTCTGCTCGGTTCCCCCAGGAAAAGATGTGATTACAGAAAGCAGAGAACAAAGGAACCTTTCCTGGCTTTTTGGCTTCAAAAACCTAGGCCCAGAAGGGAACCCAAAAGGCTTAGGGTGTAGACACAAGATGTGGGGGCAAACACGGAAAAGGCAGGCTTCCCCACCTCCCGATTAACGAATGGTTCCCTGAGCTACGGGGAAGGAGAGAGAGGAGGAGGGGTCCCAAAGGGCGGGGCCCGGAGCCACCCTCCCCAGCCCAAGTCCTGAGAAGGTGGCAGGCCTCTGCATGTTGCTGTCGTTGGGGCTGTCAAGTGGGCTCTGGCTCACGGCAACCCCACGTACGACAGAACAAAACACTGTCCGGTTGTGCCACCCTCGCAATCCTCGCTACATCTGAGCCCATCATTGCAGCCACTGTGTCAGTCCATCGCGTTGAGGACCTTCCCCTCTCTGGCCCTCCACCTTACCAAGCATGACATCCTTCCCCAGAGAATGGTCCCTTCTGAAAACACGACCGAAGCAGGCGAGACAGACTCAGGCCACTCTCACTTCCAAGCAGGACTCTACCTGCAATTTCCCAGGACACACTGTTTGTTCTTCTGGTAGTCATGGTACTTTCAGTATTCTTCGTCAACACCACAATTCAAAGACGTCAATCCTTCGGTCTTCCTTACTCACTGTCCAGGTTTCACGTGTATATGAGGCAACCAAAACCACCATGGCTTGCGTCAGGCGCACCTTCGTCTTCAAAGTGACATCTTTGCTTCTTAACACTTCAGAAAGGTCTTTCGGAACAGACTTGCCTGGTGCAATATGATGTCTAATTTCTTGACTCCTGCTTCTATGGGTGTTGATTATGGATCCAAATAAAATGAAATCGCTGACTTCAATCTTTCTGCGTTTATCATGATGTTGGCCCAGTCGTGAGAATTTTTGTTTTCTTTACATTGAGGTATAATCCATACGGAAGACTGCAGTCTTTGATCTTCATCAGTAAGTGCTTCAAGTCATCCTCACTTTCAGCAAGCAAGGTTGTGCCATCGGCATATCGCAGGCTGTTGATGGGTCTTCCTCCAATCCTGACGCCATGTTCTTCTTCATATCGCCCAAGCTTCTCGGGTTATATGCTCAGCATACGGATTGAGTAAGTAACGAGAGCATTGGCACAGGAGGGGCCCGGGGTGGCACTCCCCGCCCAGGTCCTGAGAAGGTGACAAGCCTCTGCATACGTTTGCAGAATGTGAAAGCCGGGGCAACCCACGTCTTCTTGACCAACTACAACCCAGGGAGGCAGCAAGATCCCCATCTAAAAAGGCTTCAAGGTGTCTCTGGGTAGCCAAAGCCTTAGACAACCTCAACATCTTCCTGTGTTACACAGAACTGACGGAGTCTCAGGACTGAAAAAGGTTATGCCCGTGGGGGACGAGCTGCTGGGCCACGGACTGGGGACCAGGCAGCAGGATGAGAATGGCAAAGGATGTGTGCACACGGAGGCCGGAGAGGACACTCTCTCAGCGTCCTGGCAGTCGGCCAGGCCCTCAGGACTCAGCTGTGACCTTTGCAGAAAAAAAAAAAAAAAACTGGACAAAAGATGGTGTTTTCTGAAACTCAAACAAAATGGGGGTTCCAAACAGAGGTCCCATTCCTGTGCTGTTTCTCCCAGATCTGAGACTCCTCGCAGTCGGCCAGGCCCTCAGGACTCAGCTGACATGCAAAAAAAAAAAAAAAAAAAAAACTGGACAAAAGATGGTGTTTTCTGAAACTCAAACAAAATGGGGGTTCCAAACAGAGGTCCCATTCCTGTGCTGTTTCTCCCAGATCTGAGACTCCTCCCCGCTCCACAGGTACCTACACGTCCCCACCTGTTGGGTGTGAGTTACATGAGGGAGGTCCGTCTCACTACACCACCGCCCCAACACCCACTCTCTCACTCCCTCCTCACAGCTCTGGCAGCCTGCCCCTCTCCCCCCAGTACAGCCCAGTGCCTGGCAACAGCAGGCACTGGAGGGTGTTTGGGCGTGAATGCAGGGACCAGATGGGAGGGGTGAGGCAGGGACCCAGTGGGATCAAAGCCTCAGACAGTAGGCCCTGCTCCGTCACTCCTGCCGATTCCCCGGGGCCCTCTGGCGCCCCCTCCACACCACTGACCCCAGGAAGAAGGCAGCACACCACGAGCACAGACTTCGTAGGTGACGCTCCAGACTCCACCTCCATCAGTTCCGACACCAGCCGCCCAGGCCCAGCCCGGTCCTGCACTCCCCACTCCCTCGCACAGCACAGCCCACACGCTCCCACTGGGAAAGGGGTCTGAGACCAGAGCCACTGAGAGGCTGGCAAGACCTGGAGACTCGGTTTCCCCAAGATGGACTCCCCTTCCTCAGGAAAGACGGCATGTTCCTGAGCGAGCTTTGTTTTCCCAGCCAGGAACCCACGGCCCGCGGAGGCTTCCACACCCCTAGGAGGGGCTCTCTGGGTCTGAGGGGCTCAGTGTCCCCACACAGGCTCCGGTCCTTCCGCGGGACTCCATGGAGGCAGGATGACTCCAGCCCTTGAGAGGGGCTCCCCGTCCCTGGGGCAGGCGCTGGTCCCTGGAAGAACGCCACGTCCTAAAGACAGACTCCGTGTCCTCAAGAAATCCAGCCTGTTCTCGTCCACACGGAAGGGCTCCCTGGCCCTGGGGAGGGTCCACGTTCCCAAAGGCCAGGCCCGAAGCCCCCCTCAGCTGGTGCAGATGCTGCTGACAGCGGCCCCTCCCGGGCCCACCAGGCCGAGCTCCTCTTGTTCGTTGATGCATAGCTGGTAACCGCAGCCCCGGGCCCGGGCTCCTGCCGGGACCCGGTGCTCAGTCTTGGCACGAGGGGGCAGCAGGAAGCCCACGCTGCCGGCGATGAGCATGTGCCAGATGCTGTGAATGTAGAAGTAGTTGTCCCGGGTCTCCACGAAGGCGTAGAGCAGGACGGCGCCACCCGCGATGAGGCCGCCCGGGCACAGGTAGAAGAGCCAGCGACGCCACGTTGGGGGGTAGCAGTGGCGACGGCGGACGCTGCGGACTGTCTGGGGGAGGCAGAGAAGGGGCTCCTGTTGTCCAAGCCAGAGCCAGTCACTCTCAGGGCTGTCCCCTGATCCCTGGTCATGACCTAGAGGCACGCCAGGGCCCAGTGATGATGACAGGGAGCAAGCCCACCTTCAAGTGGGGGCTGGGCACCCAGGGCCCTGCACCCAGCTTTGGTTGGGACCCTCCCGCAGCCTTCCCCACCCTTACCCAGGCTGTGGCCAAGATCCCCAGGGCAAAGAGACTGGGTCCAAGCAGGTTCCAGAGTCCATGCCGGTCAAGCTGCAGGGCCATGGACAGCAGCATAGCCCCGAGCAGATACAGCACCTGGGGAGAGAGGACTCTGGGGGCCGGGCCCTGGCTGGTGACAGCGCTCCAGGGGCCGGGCCAGGTGGCCAAAGGCACTCGGCAACACCCCCAGGAAGTGGCTGGGTGGCTTTCAAGCCAACTTTGGCTAGGGTTCCCCCCAGGGCCCACGCTGCACTGACCTGCTTGACCACAGGCTGCAAACGAGCCATGGCAATGACAGTGACCCACACAGACATCAGGGAGCCCAGGAAATCACAGAACTGCAGCACATCGTAGTCCATGATGCAGAAAACCACAATGCCCGGCTGGTCACAGGCATGGTAGAACTGGAAGAAGCAATGACAGGTGTGAGAGAACAGGAGTAAAGGGCTCCCGAAACTGGAGAGAGAGGCCCCAGGAGCGGTGCGCTGCTGTCAGAGAGCAGAGGTCAGAGGTCACTGGCTGAGCAGAATTGGGAACTAGCCAACTCCCCTACTCCTAGGAAGAACGTGGAGGCAGTTATCTGTCCAACAGCCCTGACCCCTGTCTCCATCTTTCTGCTACCGGACTGAGCTGTGGACAGCACCTGGCCGATGAGTGCAGGTCTCTCAAGCAGAGAACCATCCCTTTCCCGTCTCCCGGTGCTCACTGCGGGTCCTACCTATAATCCCCACCCCTGGCCGAGCTCTGGGGGGCCACCCAGACCTCAAGCCTACCCTCCACGTACCACTTTCCCCTCATAGCTCAGACTCAAAGTTGGGCTCCACCCGCAGGACTCTCACTAACTGGCCCTCTTCCTCAGCTCCCAAACCATGCCACGGGGGCACAGTAAGAAAAAACCCTAAGACCATGGAGAAGACCGTGGCACTTCGTACCATGGGGAAGAAGGCAGGGATGGGACGGTGTCCACCTGCAAAGAACACAGTAGAAGGCAGACTACTGAGGAGGTTCAAGGGGGTACAGGAGATGCAAGCAGAATGGGCTCAAGCTAGAGTGGACACCCTAATTAGGGAACTGAGGTCTGCCATCACCCCCCGTGGCCTATGGTTCCAGTTCTGAACAACACTCTCCTGACCGCTGGCATCCTGCCTTCCATGACTTGTGAAAAGAGCTACCCAGGGATAACCTGACCTCTCTTTGTCTAAGAATGTTTGTTGTCACCTTTCTGTGAACTTCTAGGTAGACCTGGAGTCATCTGAGCATTTATCGACATTTTAAAGCCACACACTGAAAGCATGTATCACTTTAAGAACATCTTTGGTACAAAGATGAGAGGAACACGTATCCACCTTGAACTTTTCTAGTATTCAGGGTCTTCTGAGGCCACCAAAGGAAAGGATATTGGGTAGATCTCTGGAGACAAAGCTCCACCCTGAGAAGAAGCATACTGGCTTGCTCACCCCTCCCACATCAGGAAGAACGGGTTATGGTGATGGGATCAGCGTAAGAGGAAAACTGGGAAAGTTGTGGTTGATCTAACACTCCCAGACAGGATGCCCAGGCACCAGAAAATGCAGACCTGGAAAGACAAACTTATCTAATCCACACAAATATTGGGGTACAATGGAACTGCTAGGCTCTTGTTTCCTTCTTCCATTTTCTCTTGGGAGAGCTGTTGGATTTTGCCAAGGGCCACTGAGTTACCTGTTAGGGTTTGGGGAGCAGAGGAGGGGATGAGAAGGCAGGCGGCAGCCATGCTATCAGCAAGCAGCAAAGGTGGCTACATGGGCCCCGATGTCAGCTGTGTCACCAAGGGGTACTGGCTTGGCCTCCATGGTTACTGCTGCACAACGGTTGTGTCTGCTATAATTTCCTCGATGATGTTTTGTGTTTGATGGGGTTATATTTTCTGATCTTTTGATTGGCTAGTCTTTTCTAAAGATTTGAAAAAACTACTAGACTGAGGCTATGGATTTCTATATATAATCCAGGGCTTCCGAGACACTGAGGTCAGATTAAAAAGTCAGCAGAGAACACTCGCTGGGCACCAGGACAGCAGTCCAGTGGGGATTACGTGGAGGGATGTGATGTCAGGCTGAGTGAGAACCCTGGTTCCACCACTCGACTTACAGTTCAGGCAGTCGACCTTTCCTCAACTGTAAAAAGGGATGATAATTAAAAAATACATGTTATTTCAGGGCTATTGTGAGGATTAAGGAGCCCTGGTGGTACAGTGGTACAGTGGTTGAGTGCCCAACTGCTAACCAAAAGGTCAGTGGTCCGGACCCACCAGCAGCTCCACAAGATTACAGCCTTGGAAACCCTAGGGGGGTTTCTAGCCTGTCCTCTGGGGTGCTATGAATCAGAATAGACTCATGGCACTGGGTTTGCTTTGGGCTTTGCTTGGGTAAAGACTGACAGCCTTGGAAACCCTATGGGGCAATTCTACTCTGTCCTTTAGGGGCACTGTGAGTCAGAAATGACTTGACTGGATGCCAACTATGAGGATTAAATTAGCACAGTGTCTGACACACAGCACGTATTCAGGAGATGTTAGTGCGTTGTTACCATGATTTGAACTGTTTGGCTACAGAACAATCAAGTGCTGGATCTGTGACCCATTCTTGGTTTTTGCTTTTTAAATATATTTTATATCTGTAAGCTCCTCTCTTTTATCAACTATGCAAAAGCATTTGGCTGTGTGGATCCTAACAAATTATGGACAACACTGAGGAGAATGGGAATTCCACAACACTTAATTGTGCCCATGAGGAACCTGTACCTAGACCAGGAGGGCGGTCTATGTTCAAATAGAACAAGGGGACACTGCCGACCTAAAATCAAGAAGGATGCATGTCAGGGTTGGATCCTGTCCCCACACTTAATTCAATCTGTGTGCTGAACAAATAATCCAAGAAGCTGGACTACATGAAGAACACGGCATCAGGATTGGAGGAAGGACCATTAACAACCTGTGATATGCAGATGACACAACCTTGCCTGCTGAAAATGAAGGTGACTTGAAGCATTTACTAATGAAGACCAAAGACTACAGTCTTCACTATGAATTACACCTCAACATAAAGAAAACAAAAATTCTCGCAACTGGACCAATAAGCAACCTCATGATAAATGGAGAAAAGACTGAGGTTGTCAAGGATTTCATTTTACTTGGATCCACAATCAACACCCACAGAAGCAGCAGTCAAGACATCAGACATTGTGTTGTCCTGGGCAAATCTGCTGCAAAAGACCTGCAGACGTGTGAAGAAGCAAAGATGTCACTTGGAGGACTAGGGTGCGCCTAACCCAAGCCATGGCATTTTCAATCACTTCATTTGCATGTGAAAACTGAACAATGAATAAAGAAGCCCGAAGAAGAATTGATGCATTCGAATTGTGGTGCTGGCAAAGCAAACTGAAAATACATTGGACTGTCAGAAAAATGAATCAGTCTGTCCTGGAAGAAGTGCAGCCGGGATGCTCCTTGGAAGCAAGAATAGCCAGACTTCATCTCACCTACTTTCATCACGTTATTAAACGAAAACCAAACCGAACGCACTGCCATGGAGTCGGATCCAACTCACAGTGACCCCTCCTTGAGTTTCTGAGGCGGTATCACTACAGAAGTAGATTGCCCAACCTTCCTCCCGAGGTGGGTTTGAACTGCCAGCCTTCTGGTTAGCATTCAAGTGCCTTAGGCACTATGCTACCAGAGCTCCTCATCATGCTATTAGAAGGGACCATTCCCTGGAGAAGAGCGTCATGCTTGGTAAAGCAGAGTCAGTGCAAAAGGGGACGACCCTCAATGAGATGCATGGACACAGTGGCCACAATGATGGACCCAAGTGCACAAGGACTGTGAGGCCGGTGCAAGCCCGTCCGGCTGTACAAGGGTCGCTATGAGTTGGAGCCGACTGGATGGCACCTACCAACAACAACATAGCTCCTGAAGAGCGAACCCCGTGTGCACCTACGTCCTAGACAAGGTGATGGCACTACTCCCAGGTGCAGGCTGGCCAGGATTTAAGACAGGGAAGAAGGCAGTCATCTAGAGCATCTGAGTACTGCGAACCACAATGTGACCAAAGGGAGACTGCTGAGGAACAAAGTAAGTCTAGACTAAGGAAGGAACAGCAACGAGAAATCAGGGGGCCTGCCCCAAAGCTCTACATTTTGGTCCATGTGGAAAAAGAACAGGACTCAGAGCAGGACCTTAGGCAACAGCTCAAAGCCAGAATCTTCTCCTTTTGCTCATTTAAGTGGGGGCTCCTCATGCATGGCCAGGCCCTTCAGGCTCCCCTGGTGCCTACTGGGGGAAAGTCGGTTCTTTTCTGTTCGGATGAATGGTCACTGCATCCAGATAATGAGAAGTGATCCAGAACTGAGCCCCGGGAGCCAATGCCCAGGCTCCTCGCGGTCAGAGGCCAGGAGAATGGCTACGCCCCCCTCACATGCTCTAGGCTCCTGACACTGCTCCCCTCCAGGGTTCTTCCTAATCGTGAATCCTATTAGATCTGCATGCAACCAAGAGTGGGCTGGAGGCACAGCTGTCGCTGGAGGATTTGGTGAGCAACAGTGTGAAGGGCACCTGGCAATAAAAGAGAGAAACAGCGTCTAAAAATAGGATGAGGCATTGTTGGAGCCGGCCTCCAAGGGGCCAGTCAAGCAGGACTGAGGGAAGTGCTTCTCACCCAGCTACAAGGGCCGAGGGCTCTCCACACAACAGGGGGCAGCCCAGTCCTCCTCATCCGTGGGAGGGTCCCAGGAGCCTGCGGTCCAGCCCAGTCCTCATCCGTGGGAGGACACCAGGACCCTGTGATCAGACCCAGCCCTCCTCATCCATGGGAGGGTCCCAGGAGCCTGCGGTCCAGCCCAGCCCTCCTCATCCATGGGTGGGTCCCAGGAAGGACCCCCGGACCCTCCGGGTCAGGACATGTGCCCCTCTCTCCCAGATGAGGAGGATTCATGAACTTTGGACATAAGTCTGATCTATTCAGGCAGGACACCAAGGAGGTATGTGTTGGTTTCTGTGACATCCTTGGTACCGAGACAAGAAAAAAGCATAGACTCATCTGAGATTCTCACAGTATTCCAGGCAGGCACTGGGCATCACAAGATGCCAGGAGCCCAGACATGAAATGAAGGGGTCCCTGAATGTGCCACCCCAGGAGGAAACAATGTCTAAACTGGGGTGAAAGTCACGTCAGCAGACGCACTCCTCCACCTCTCCTCACAATGGTCATGCTTATAACATGACCTTTCCCAACTACGGGGTAGGGGAGACCCCTGCAAGGGACTGTGGGAACTCCACAGTGGGATTGGAAGCACCTTCATGTATGTTAGCTTTCACCAAAACATCCTCCTGTGAGCTGGTATTTCATGTCCACTGCCACAAAGACAACATAGGGCTACGTTTCCCTGTTACCCAGAAGGTCGCTTCTGACTCTCTAGCACCTAACCACCACTTCTCAAGGCACCTCAGGACACACCTGAGTCCATAAAGTTTCTTAGGAGTTTGTTCCATAAATTACCCAGTTAGAAAGCTCTCGTCTTCCAAAAATTCCCATGAGATTAGAGACTTTTTAGGAGGCTGTAATGACTGAATGGGAAGACACCCTTCAAACCCTAAGAAAGAACAGCTGAGCAGGTAGAAATCCCAATGGAAAGCATGAGCGCACTACATCTCATGAGGACAGAACTCGTGACAGGTGAACACGCCCGTGCAGAGATGTGGGTGAGGGTGTGGCTTTCCTCCCCATACACGGAAAAACATGGGGAAGGTGTAGACACAATGCCAGACTGTGTGACCGACTTTCTCAGCCAGGGTGTTGAGGTAACTGTCCCCCCTCCCCTGGGAGGACAGGCGTGGAGAGTGTGGGGCAGCTGGAGCCCTCAAGCATGTTATCTGAAGCGGCAAGCCTTGTTCATCCACCCCAGTGTGCCTCACAAACGTGAACGGAAAACGTCGTGCCATGATACAGACATGCTGGGAAGCTCTACAGGGGAAGATCAGTGAGGGGGAGACATGTCTTCATGCTGCAGTCATCCCCAAACTCCGGGAGCGTGTGGTAAAACACAGACCCTCACCCACCACAGTGGGTAAGGGCACAGTGAGGCATACATGCCAGCGCACACGGTGGAGACCCACCAGCACGAATAACGACAAGGAGAGACATCATGCCAGCACACGGTGGAGACCCACCAGCATGCGTAATGACACGGGGGGGACAGACCCACCACCATGGATAAAGACACAGGGAGACACACGTGCGTGCGGCGCACCACAGAGACCCACCACCATGGACAATGACACCAAGAAGACACACATGCCAGCACACGGTGGAGACCCACCACCACGGGTAACGACATGGGGAGACATCCTGCCAGCACCCCGTGGAGACCCACCACCACCACGGATAACAACATGGGGAGACATCTTGCCAGCACCCCATGGAGACCCACCACCACGGGTAACGACATGGGGAGACATCCTGCCAGCACCCCATGGAGACCCACCACCACGGCCAAGGACCCGGGGAGGCAGACCCACCAGCACGGACACCACTGGGGAGACACGCGTGCCGGCGCATACCGTGGAGAAGAACATGGTGAAGGTGTAGACAGCCGCCTCAAGCACGCATCGGCTCCGGACGGCCAGCACCACGGGCGGCAGGAACATGAGGTTGCTCAGGCACAGGAGCAGTGTGGACAGCAGCTGGAAGCCGTAGGTGAGCGCCCCGGCGCTGTCCGTGCAGCCCCAGCCCTGCCAGCCTGCGGGTGGCAGGGCGCAGCGTGAGGAGGGGCTCAGCAGGCAGGCCCCCGCCGGCCCGCCAGGCGCCCCACCCCCACACGCGCGGCTCCCTCACCGGCCTTGCACTCGCAGGCCGCGTACAGGTAGTTGTGGGTGCGCAGCAGCTTGCACTGCCCGTAGGGCCCGCAGTCGTCCACACACGGGGACAG